GGCCTACGCGCGCTAGAAACAGGCCGCACGCGGGCGGCTAGCGGGCTGCACGCGCTAAAAACGGGCCGCGCGCGGACGTCTAGCGGGCTGCGCACGGGCAGCGTGAGAGAGAGAGAGGCGCGCGAGGGCACACTAGCAGAGAGACGCACGAGGGCGCTAAGGCGGTAGGGCGCTCGAGGGCGCTTCTAGCGGAATGGTGGGCCCTTAGGACTAAGCAGTCCTAGGTTCCTAACCTAGGCTCGTAATACCATGTCGAAATGAACAAGAGTGATTGCACTAGGAAAAAGGAGAGTACAAGTAGGAAAACATAAACTGACTGTACCCCATAGTAACTACCCCACTGCAGCCTAAACAACTGTAGCAGATATAACATTTGACGTAATTTCAGGGTAATTTTCTGTATGTACACTAATTTTCCAGTGTTCAGGTTTTAGAGAGACTGTTTATTCAGCCTTATTTTCTCTAAGGGGACTGATTCTTCAGACTTCTATCGAAGTATACACTGAATGCACATTCCGAATCCCTGTTGTAAAACAGCCGAGACTACTAGCTGTAAGGCATTTCAGCAATATTATAAGGAACGAAGATGTCAAAATGGGTATTGAAGGCTAAGATCTCCGGTTCGAATATCGCGGCTGGTATAATTTGTAAGGTCTGCATTTATGTCCTAGTTAACATGTGAGTGAAAATCAGGATTCTACTTAGAAAACCTTGAAGATTCAAACATTTTTTTTTTTCGGAACGTTGATTTTCAGCCTTTTTTTACATAGGGACCCTGATGCATAGACGCCCCTAAAAGTGAATCTGAGGCCCTACTTCCATGTGTTGCACCAGCATTTGATTTGCTACTTGCTAGAGTGGGCTGGGCTGGGCACAACCATTGGAGCAGAATGTCATCCAACAGAGCGGTCAGTCCTGGTAGAAAAACTTCCACACTTCCCGAACATTGGAGGAGCCATCCACAACCTCCTTGAGCAAGTGGCCGTGCAACGAACCTGGACATGCACGGGTTGAACACGGGAGGGAAACGAATGGAAATGGCATGCATTACATTAGGCACCAATCATTTCGCATCGAGCATTAAGCATCTCATAGTAAAGCTCGCAGTCCAAGTTGTTCAGCTTTACTAAGGATGACTGTTCGGTGGTGGGAGAGATGGACAAAGAGAAGTCCAGGTGCAGGGAGGGTGGGGGATCTTAATTTTGCCCAACTTTTTGCCATGCTCTGTTTTCTCACCGATTCGACTAACACCAGGGGCGGCTCGCGTTTGGTTGCGAGAGTCCCACATCTCAGGTTTTTTTTTTTTTTTTTTTTTTTTTTTTTGGTTTCACGAACACAGCTTCATTTGTGCTAGGCAATCAGATTCTTTCACACGATCAAGAATACTAAGGTTGACTCATGCGGTCCGCAATTTGGATTGCGAACTTTAAGCATTAAGCATCTCACATTAAGCATTAAGCATCGCACATCAAGCATTCAAGCTTCAGTATACATTCGAAAGGTTAAATTTCAAATTATTAAGGAACTTAAAGTTTGGGGCAAAACCGTGAGGCACACTGTAAAACCCCAAACCCTACAAACATCGCAAATTAAGCATCAAGTATCAAGCACCAAGCATCGAGCAATAAGCATCAAGCATCACACAACAAGCATCAAGCATCAGGTATCAAGTAGGCATGAGCAAAGTGCCGAACCGCACTTCGGCTCGACACCGTTCGGTTTGTTGTGAACAAAACCTTAGCCTTGTTTTGTTCATTAGATTCGCAGCGGGCCGAACCGATTTGTCCTCAAACAGTCCAACGGTTTGACTTGTTCAGTATATTGTTTTAATGTAGGGGCAAAAAGGGGCGGGGAGGGGTGACGAGGGGCGAGGAGGAAGGGCGAGACTGGTCGTGCTGGGTGCAAACATTTACTTGCACGTCAACCAGCCGCCTACATATCTTGTTGCACTTTGTGAGTGTTTTGTGTGCTTTCGTTTTCAAATTTTGTGTGATTCATTTTTTTATGCTATGATTTCATGAAGCTCTCATGGCACTCGCATGAAGCTCTCATGGCAGTCGCATGAAACTCTCATGACACTCGCATGAAGCTCTCATGGCACTCACATGAAGCTCTCATGGCACTCGCATGAAGCTCTCATGACACTCGCATGAAGCTCTCATGGCACTCCCATGAAGCTCTCATGGCACTCGCATGAAGCTCTCATGGCACTCGCGTGAAGCTCTCATGGCACTCGCGTGAAGCTCTCATGGCACTCGCGTGAAGCTCTCATGGCACTCGCGTGAAGCTCTCATGGCACTCGCATGAAGCTCTCATGGCACTCGCGTGAAGCTCTCATGGCACTCGCGTGAAGCTCTCATGGCACTCGCATGAAGCTCTCATGGCACTCGCGTGAAGCTCTCATGGCACTCGCATGGGACTCTCATGGAAGTCTCATGAGCATCCCATGATTGATGCGAGGCTTATTGAGCTCCCATGGCGAGCGATGAGTGTTCCCTTGGGGCTCGATATTTTGACTCCGGGCCCTTTGACTTTCGCGCTGGTCAATGAAAAGCGCGGGAAAGTTAGTATCCGCGCGTGGGGTCCTAACACGCGAGTGTGGCCACACAAGGCTTGCGCGTGTGTCGTGCACTGTAGCGACCATGCACAGTGCGCACGATCACAATAGGACAAGACACATTATTGCCCTGTCGCACGCTAGGACAGCACACGATTGCTGGCGCGATCGTCCTTACCTACACGGCCGAGAAATATTTGATGGATGGCCCAAGGGGTGCTCGAGATTACAGTTGAAAAACTTAATCCCGAGTTGACTTGGCATAAGGTAAATTTACAACAAAGTTGTACTACTTAGCGTGAAGATTTGGTTGCAGGTACAAAACTGTAAAATCCGTTTTTCCAACGGTGATGTCTGTTTTAGAATAGAAAACGGGATACTCAAACGAGGACTCATGAGAGTACACATGAGGACTCATGAGTGCTCACATGAGAAGTCACTTGGGGCTCTTGATTGGTAGGTCCAGCTTCGGAAATACTGTTGCACCACGCAGTTGGTCCAGTAAGTCGTCTATGCGCGGTATGGGATATTTGTTTTTAACTGTCTGTTTGTTCAGTGCGCGGTAGTCGATGCACATCCATAAACTGCCTTCTGGTTTTGGGGTGAAGAGATTGGTGCTCCGTAGTGAGAGGTGGATGGGCGGATCAGTTTTCTGTCCAGTAGATACTCAATCTGTTTCTTCATGTCTGTCAGTTCGGTCGGACTCAGTTGGTATAGTGCACGTGGGACGGGTTTCGCACCTGGTTTCTCCACGATCTCGTGTTCGTGGGTGCGTGCTGGAGGTACGCCTGCGGGTAGGTCGTCGGGCATTATATCTTTGTACTGCTCCAAGACCTCTTTCACTGCGGCAGGAAGCTCGGAACTCGGCTTCTCCTCCTCTGCTATTGCCATGACCAGTGCTAGATAACCCGTGTTACTCTCGTTCACCATCCGTTCGAACCGTGCCAGTGTCGTTTCAGGAATGTCTCCTATATCTGTCCAGCTTCTCAGCTCCAGGATTTGTCCTCTAAGCCTTTGCAGCTGTGTAGACTTCACATGTGGGCAATGGGGAGCCTTAACACGGTGCTGCGGGGAGAGAATATTAACTCCACGGAACGCACGACCCTTTTCTACGCTCCGTAGTACTTTGCCCAACTTCTCAGGTACCTGAATAATTTCTATCGAAACGCTGCTCAACAAGTTTCTCACGGTACAAGCTGAGCCAAGCTTGCGTACAAGTTTCTCAGAGGATCTTAAGGGAGTATGCACTGCTACAACTAGGTAGTCTCAGTTTGTTTAGCTTCCGCATAGTATTCAACACTCAACAGGTCGAAATGGTTCGATTATTCAGTTTTCTAATACCAAACCTCGAACCAGCATGCGATCATGATGCTTCGAAAAGAACCGGTTCGGTTTGTTAACGAACCGGCTTAGTGAATGCGCTAAAGTAACCGAACCAGTCCGGATCGGTAATTTGCTCATGCCCAGTATCAAGCACCAAGAATAGCATCAAGCATCAAGCATAAAGCATGGGAGCATCAAGCATGGAGCATCAAGTCATGAGGACCTAGATGGAGAGAAGGGCGAGGAGAGAGCCCTCGGTCAAATCGCATTAGGCTCCTCGCCACCTACACCTCTACTCCTGATCGTATATGCCTTCTTCAAATTCTCACCTTGTTGCTCCACAAGGCTTTTGAACTGGCGTGTGCCGCCGCCCACCCCAAAGTAGTGCTTCTTGCCCGCCACGTACAGCACGCCGTGCGGCCGCCGCAAGCACTGCCAGGTGAAGTCGGGGGGAACGCAAGCAGGGGCAAAAAAATGGTGAGATAACGCAGAGGGGAATCTAGCGCAGAGGGGAATCTAACGCAGAGGAGAATCTAACACAGAGGGGAGTCTAACGCTGAGGGGGATCTGACGCAGAGGGGAATCTAACTCAGCAGGGAATATAACAAAGCGTTGAATCTGACGCAGAGAGGAATCTAACAAAGCGGGGAATCTAACAAAGCGGGGCATCTTACGCAGAGGGGAATCTAACGCAGAGGGGAATCTAACGTAGAGGGGAATCTAACGCAGAGGGGAATCTAACGCAGAGGGGAATCTAACGCAGGGGGGAATCTAACGCAGAGGGGAATCTAACGCAGAGGGGAATCTAACGCAGTGGGGGATCTAACGCAGAGGGGAATATAACGCAGAGGGGCAGAGGGGGATCTAACGCAGAGGGGGATCTAACGCAGAGGGGGAATCTAACGCAGAGGGGAATCTAACGCAGAGGGGAATCTAACGCAGCGGGGAATCTAACGCAGAGGAGAATCTAACGCAGCGGGGAATCTAACGCAGAGGGGAATCTAACGCAGAGGGGAATCTAACGCAGAGGGGAATCTAACGCAGAGGGGAATCTAACGCAGAGGGGAATCTAACGCAGAGGGGAATCTAACGCAGAGGGGAATCTAACGCAGAGGGGAATCTAACGCAGAGGGGAATCTAACGCGCCTAGAAACAGAGGCCATGCGCCCTCGTCCCTTTGCTCAACGTAGCGAGAAAAAGGGAGGGGCAAGAGTGGAGGAGGGGCACATTGCCAACTAAAGCTGTTGTTGAGAGAAAGTGCTGCTGGCAAACAGCAACGGGAGCGCAACTTACAGACGAGGGCGAGCAGCTTGGCCATGGAGCGCACCTTACAGACGCGGGCGAGCAGCTTGGCCATGGAGCGCACCTTACAGACGCGGGCGAGCAGCTTGGCCATGGAGCGCACCTTACAGACGCGGGCGAGCAGCTTGGCCATGGAGCGCACCTTACAGACGCGGGCGAGCAGCTTGGCCATGGAGCGCACCATACAGACGCGGGCGAGCAGCTTGGCCATGGAGCGCACCTTACAGACGCGGGCGAGCAGCTTGGCCATGATGTCGTACCCGCCCCCGGCCCCACCCGCCCTCCCGCCCCCGTGACCCAATGCCGACGTGCCACCTGGCGATGCACAGAAGGAGGGCGTGCCCGATGCACCGTCCAGTGGCATGTGGTTGCTGGCGGGGGAGGCTGTATGTGCACCCTGCCGTGCCGCGGCTGCTTCACCTCCTTGCTGCCGCCTGTGCTGGCGGCCGCACTTGGGGAGGCCTGTGAGGCACTGTTGGCTGTGACATCCGTAGCAGCGGCTAGCGTGGCAGCGGTATCGGCGGTAGCAGTCTCAGTAGCAGTGGTATCAGTGGCAGCAGTACCACCAGCAGCATCAGTAGGAGCAGTATCAGTAGCAGCAGTATCAGTGGCAGCGGCAGCAGTAGGAGGGAGGGAGAGAGGGGAGGAGGGGGGATGGGCGAGGGAGAGGAGGCCATCCATGGCGGCCCAGTCGCCAGCAAAGAAGCGCGTGCGCAGGTCAGGCAGGGGCGACTTGGGCGTCACCGACGGCGAGCACGGCGACGACGGCCCCTCTCTCTCGCGCGCGGCCCCCCCAGCGCCGCCCCCACTGCCCGCCCCGTGCTCCCTGCGCTCGCGGGGGGGAGCGGCGGCGGCAGCGAGGTTGGCGGTGAGGTTGGGGATGGTGAGGTTGAGCAGCACCTCGGCGTTGAAGTCCTGGAAATGCACCACCGCCGCCACCTGCCCTCCCGCCCCGCCACCAGCGCCGTGCCATGGACCGTGGGACACAGGCACCAAGCAACGGGTCAGGATGGGGAGAGGAGAAGGGGAGAGGAATGGAAGGGTAGAAGGGAAGAGGAGGAGAGGTAGGAGAGTATGAGTGAAGGGGTGTGGGCAGGTGGGTGGTGGAGTCCTGGACGAGGAGCGGGCAGCGCAGGCAGAGCAAGGCAGCGCAGGCAGAGCAAGGCAGCGCAGGCAGAGCAAGGCAGCGCAGGCATAGCAAGGCAGCGCAGGCAGAGCAAGGCAGTGCGGCAAAGTGATGAATGAGGGGCGTCTAAAGTGAATGAGGGAACTGGAAGAGGAAACTACGAAAGCGGACACAGAAGGTGACAGAGGAAAACGGGTTTGCAGAACTCATAAGTGAGCGTGAGGTACTAAGTTTGAATACAGAGAGACATGTTGACAGAAGGTGGACGTGAAAATAAGAGTTCTGGCAAGCAGTGGTGTGTTGTAGCGATGTACAAGGGGCAGCTTGCACAGTGATGGCAAGGTGGCATGTGAGGGCGAGGTGGCATGTGAGGGCGAGGTGGCATGTGAGGGCGAGGTGGCATGTGAGGGCGAGGTGGCATGTGAGGGCGAGGTGGCATGTGAGGGCGAGGTGGCATGTGAGGGCGGGTCACCTTGAGGCAGGCGAGAATGCCCGGCAGCCCGTGCCCACAGCCCAGCTGATGGGCGGGGGGTGGATGCGGGACAGGCGGGACGGGGGGGAATGGGGAATGGGGAAGGGACGCAGGGAGGGAGGTAGTGAGGGTGGGACGGAGCGAGCGAGGGAGGGAGAGGTGGAGGGATGCGAGAGCGGGTGAGGGTGGGAGAGGATAGGCGGGCAAGTTGCACATCTGCCAAGCACACAAGCCGGACACAGACAAGCCCGACACAGACAAGCATCAGACATTTGAGTGGGCCAAAGGGGTGAGTGCGGTGCAGTGCAGTGTAGGGCACACCTCGAGCACATGCTGGCAGGGCGCACCTCACCTCACCTCACCTCACCTCACCTCACCTCACCCCACCGCACCTCACCTCCCTCACCTCACCTCACCTCACCTCACCTCACCCCACCGCACCTCACCTCCTTCACCTCACATCACCTCACCTCACCTCACCTCACCTCACCTCACCTCACCTCACCTCACCTCACCTCACCTCACCTCACCTCACCTCACCTCACCTCACCTCACCTCACCCCACCCCACCTCACCTCACCTCACCTCACCTCACCTCACCTCGAGCCCGTGCTTGCGGCGGAAGGAGAGGGTGCCGTCCTGCATGTCGGCCCACACTGCCTACATCAGATCCACCGCCGCCTCCCACAGCTTGAACCCGCCTGCCACCATGCCACGCGTGCAATCCATGTGGTACCGTGCAAGCCATGTGGTACCGTGCAAGCCATGTGGTACCGTGCAAGCCATGTGGTACCGTGCAAGGCATGTCGCACAATGGGGTGCGGGGTGTGGTGGCACGCATTGGGGTGTGGTGGCACGCATTGGGGTGTGGTGGCACGCATTGGGGTGTGGTGGCACGCATTGGGGTGCGGTGGCACGCACTGGGGTGTCATATATCTGCCGTGCCCCTACCCACACCACCCTTCATTTCACGCATCCCAACTCAATTTCTCCCACACGGCATACAGGCGCATGAGAGCACATATGCAAGCACCTGTGCAACACGCATACTGCCTGCCACAAACTGCTCACCTAATATGTATCATGTCACTATGAATGCATTCCACCTACATGCTCCATCTCGCTGTCATGCATCACCTCACCTCACCTCACCTCACCTCACCTCACCTCACCTCACCTTCATACTTGCCCGGCACCAAGTCCGACGTTGTGCCCACCAGCATGGTTGTGGACGCCGTGCCCTGAGGGCGGGCACGCATGGTGGGAGGGGAGGTGAGTCATTGACGGCCATTGACTGCCATGGACGGCCACTAACAGGCATGATGACTTACCTTGAGCAGAGTGAGACCGCGCTCCAGCGTGATGGCTTCCGTGGGAAAGGGCAGAAAGCTCACCGCCTGCCACGCACGGTTGCAGGGCAAGGGGAGAGGGGGGGGGGGGGGGGCAACACATGTGTGCATGTCGCTGCACCACCTTTCGCTGCACCACTCCGACTCTCATCCACATGCCCTGCTCTCATCCACCTGCCCTGCTCTCATCCACCTGCCCTGCTCTCCCACCCACTCGTCCCGTTTCCGTGTGACTGCCACCACCGTGGCCGCTCCCCCCTCCTCCCCACACAACGTCCACCCACATCATCTCTGTGCTCAAGCAACCGTGAAAACACACTGGGCCGAAACGGGTCCATTAACCCTTGGTGTGCGCCCGTGGGGGCGCAACAGCTCACCTCGGCACGCCTCACTTCCCTCGCCACCGGCACGGCTGCCTCCACCTGCCCCTCGTCCTCGCGCTCCTCCTGCTCGCCCCGCCCGCCACGGGGGTTGTGCTGGGGTGGGGGGGGGGGGAGGGAGTGGGGTGGGGGTGTAATGGGAAGCGGAACGACGGGAAACGGGAAAACGGCGGATGGGAGGCGTGGGGAAGGATGCACGCAGGGCGCGGGGCGGGACGGCGAAGCGCGGAACAGGGGAGGGAGGAGAGTGGAGAGAGAATGGGTAGAGCCGGGGCGCGCACGACGGGGGCAGGCGCAGCGGATGACCGCGATAATCTCCGCGCGGCGCTCACATCGCGCGCGGCAGTGGCACACGACGCACGCGAAAGCACGAGGCTCATGGCTAGGGGCGTCACTGGCACGAACGAGCGCGCGATACATGGCGCCACACCGCCTTGCTCGGCAGCTCCGCGCGACGAGGCCGGGCGAGTGCGGCGAGGGCGAACGGGCAGCTAGACGGCAGCAGAGCAGCGAGCGAGAGGGCACAGAATGACAGAGATTGGAGGGACAGCGGTGCTTACGGCGGGTGCATTCCGAGTGAGACGATCCAAGAAAGAGGAGGGCGAAGAATCCATGGTTGCAGTCCGACCCCCCTAAACAAGCGGACGGAGAAATGACGACGTCGATACGAGAGGCAGGGTTTGCCGCGACGAGGTTATGCGCCTAATCATATGCCACACATTCTTAGGGCGCGTGTGATTTTTGGAAACTACGTAAGTGAGAAGTTTTCTAGAAAAGATCAAGAATAGAATGAAAGTGTATAAGGGGTTGTTAGAATTATGTGTGTATTGTTGTGCGTTGGGGTATATATGCCTAATCCTAACAACTGTACCCCACGTGACATGCCTCACTACATGCTACAACATTTGACACGCCCCCATAGCCTAAGTGAGGGGTGTCATGCAACAACCAAAACGGTCACACCAATCACAAAGAGACAAAGCTCAGGGTGGATCACAACGTCACCACACAGAACGAGCACAAACAAGGGGCCACAAGGCCAGTTCAAGAGTTCACAAAAGTATATGTAAAGAGTACAAACAAACCAAGCAGACGATACAAGTCTACACAAGACGAGAACATATCCACGCCGCTACAGGCAGAACCTGTGGTGGTCACAAGGCGGCAGGGCCTTGGTGAAGATGTATGCAGAGTTAACCTCGGAGCCCACGAAGTCCAAAGGAGCCTGTCCACGCCGCTGCAACTCTCGAAGAAGAAAGCACATGACGCTGGTGTGCTTCACTCTGCTCTCCAGTCGAGGCTCTCGACACATGAGAACCATCGACTTGTTGTCTGTGAACAAGGTCGGTGCAGAGCTCGGCCGCTCACCAAGGTCAGTGAGCAAGAAGGTCAACCAACGCAGCTCCTGTGCAGCCATGGCTCCAGCGTACATCTCGGCCTCAGCATTAGAGGTCGAGACAGAGGAGGAACGAGTAGACCTCCACGACACAGCTCCCAAGCCTAGACTGAAACAGTACCCTCGCGTGGACCTGTGAGTCTCAACGTCGTTGGCGTAAGAAGAGTCACCGTGGCCAGTGAGCACGACAGGCTATCTCCCTCCAAGCACCAGCCCCATGCCCGATGTACTCCGTCGCTAGGTACTTCGCCACCCTTTTAGCAGCTGTCCAGTGAATAGGACGGTGTCTCCCTGGCGCAACAATTCGGGCAAGGATGCTGAGAGGGAAGGTGTGGTCTGGGCGAGTACAAGTCATCAGGTACATGAGGCAACCTACAAGCTCTAGGTAAGGACCACTAGGCTCAAATGGCTTGTCAGGGAAGGGTCCAGTGAGTTTGTAGTCAACAGTAAGGAGAGTAGGCTGTGCAGTGGAGAACTGAAACTCAAACCGCTAAAGGATCTGCTACACGATGTGTGACTGGGTCAGAGTGATGGTGCGAGCTCACTTGTCCCTGGTGATCTGCAGGCCAAGGTAGTGGCGCAGCTCACCAAGGTCAGTGCACGTGTGTCTCAACTGCAGTTCGGACTTCACGTCCGCCAAAGAAACCGTGTCAGCAGTGGCGAAGACTAGGTCGTCGACGTAGACCAGTACAAAGAACGGTGTGGAGCCACGACGAACAAACGGCTACGGGTCGGCAGAAGAAGGCTGGAAACCGAGGTCAGACAGGGTAGAGCGAAGGGTGTCGTGCCACTCACGAGGCGCCAGCCGGAGACTGTAGACTGGACGTCTGAGCCTCCATTGGGTCCCAGGAGGGAAAGTATCAGTGAAGGCAGAGGGAGGACACAGCCAGACATCCCCGTGTAGGCTACCCTGAAGGAACGCAGTGGAGAAGTCATGTGAACCCTTAAGCCGAGAGAGTGTAACCCGTAGTCTCTCTGTGCTGCCATGTGAAGTGGTCATCTTCGAGGTAGGCGCGGATGTCTGAAAGAAGTCAACTCCCTCGCGCTGACTGAAACCTCTAGCCACATAACGCGCCTTGAAGACCGGAGGAGATCCCGGTGGCCGCTTCACCTTGAAGATCCACATGTCATCGACTACGTTCGCCCCCGGACAGGGAACCTCGTGGACGTAGGTGCCTGTCGATCTCTAAGTGGCCTTCTCCGCGCCCATGGCAACTCTCCACTGAGAGGCCCAAGGCCCTGACATTGCCTCAGCGTAAGTGCGAGGAGTCGGTATGTCAAGGGCGTCGGGGTCTCCCTCAGGGGCGAGCAGCATGGCACAGAGATGAGGTGAAGCAGCTAGCTCAAACTGCTTGTCCTCTAGGGCGTCACAGCCAAGGGTAGACCGACCCCCGACGGCCAGAGGACGGGTAGGAGAAGCAGCCACGACACGGCATGGTCAAGTCGGCGAGTAGAGGCGAACTCAGTGACAGCGGCAGTAAGGGCAGAGACAGAGGACAGAGAGGCACGAGGGTCCGTAACAAGAGAGGCGAGAACACGAGAGAGAGCAAGACAGTACGTGTGGTAGTAGTCAGTGACAGGAGTAGAGAGGGAAGCAGTAAGGGCGGACTCAGCGAGAAAAGGAAGCACAGACGGAGACGGACGAGGGGAGGAAGAACGAAAGAGGACAGTGCGAAGGTCAGTGACGGGAACAGGGGACGAGGGACGAGCACGAGGAGAGCGAGAAGCCCAAGTGTGAGAAAGAGGAGGGGACAACGGAGGCTGAGAACGGGGGAAAACAGCTGGTGTGGAGTCAGGAGGAGGAAACGTGGGACCGTAGACAGGAGGAGAGGGGGAGGAGGGAGGAGAAGGGGAAGGGAGACCAAGGGCCCGAAGGTCAGAGACAGGAGGCGTAGACGGCCGCTGGTGCTGCTGCTCCGGCTGTTATGGCCACTACTGCTGCGGCTGCTGCTGCTCATGCTGCTCTTGCTGCGACGGCTGCGGCTCTTGTTGCTGCTGCTGCTGAGCCAGGTACCAGGCCGCCACCCCACCACCCGCAGCTGGCAGCCCCGTAGGTGCCACGAACCCGAGCGTCACCTCCACTAGCTGCAGCAGGGGAGCCAGTAAAAGCTGCACAAGGCGCTCCACCAACACCTGCACTCCCGCCACCACCACTCGCCATGCCACCTCCGCCGCCTCCGCTACTGGCTGCACCCTGGTCGCCCCTCCTGCCGCTCCTAACTCTAGACCGCGCAGAAGTCGTGACAGCAGCCGCGGTCTCGTCAGTAGCGGTAGCGGCGAGGGAGGCAGTGAAGGTGGGCAGTTGTGGGACAGTGCACCCGTGGAACAGTGGGGGGGGCACAGCACTAGAGGCAGAGGTTACCGAGCGGAGGTTGCTCTCGACGGAGTGCAGACTCAAGGATCTCAATAGTAAGCTTGCTAGGGTGCTTCAGAAGAAGGCGTCACGAACAGTGGCAAGGCAGTTAGGGAGGCTAGTGACGATGAAAAAAATAGTAATCGCCAGTGCAAGTCGTGCATCACTGCAGGCAGCGCGGTACCTAGAATCCAGCGAACGCAGGTGAGCGATCAAGTCAGCAGAGCGCTCAAACGAGGCGAGGTCAGGAAACAGGAACGGGGGGAATAGGCGACCGAGAGAGACAGTGGTGGGAGTGGAATAGCGTGCCTTGATTGCAGTCAGGAACTCGCTAGTAGTGCGAACTTGGGTGAAATGGGACTCCTCAAACTTAGGGAGGAGGCTGTCAAACATTATATATGTTGTGTTTGTTTAGGCTACAGTGGGTTAGCCTATAGGGGGTACACAATTCTAGGGTTAGGTACTTGTACTGATTTCACTGTTAGTTCAACCATTCCTGTCCGTTAATTTTGACATGGTATCAGAGCAGGTCCGTCACTAGGACCGTTTTAGGGCCCACCGTTACCTACCTACCTACCTACCTACCTACCTACCGTGCGCCCTCGTGCGCCTACGCGCCCTCGTGCGCCTTCTACCTACCGCGCGCGCGCAGCTCGTCTTCTTTTTAACGCGCGCGACCCGCTAGCCGCCCGCGCGCGGTCGATTTTTCGCGCGCGACCCGCTAGCCGCCCGCGCGCGGCCGTTTCTTCGCGCGCGGCCCCGCCCGCTGACCGCAAGCTGCTCGCGCGCTGCCTGTGCGCCGCTGCCCGCACGCATGTGCGCTCGCTGCCGCGCTCGCTGACGCGCCCGCTGCTGCAGCCGCCCGTCACCTGCTCCGCGGTCGCGCGCCGCTGCAGCTCCTGCTGTCGCGCCCGCTGCTGCTGCCGCCCGTGCGCCGCTGCAGCTCCTGCTGCCGCGCTCCCTACTACTGCCGCCCGTGCGCCTCTCCTAGCGGCCCCGCCGGCCGGTCGATTCCGCCTGCGTCCCACCTAGTAGCCCCGCCGGACCTATCGACCCCGCCCGCCCTCCGCATAGAGGCCCCGCCGGCCCCGTTGACCCTGCGCACACCTTTCAAGCGGCCTTGTTACTACTGCTACTACTGCTACCACTACTGTTTCTACTACTACTGCTACTGTCACTATGGCTAGTCCTACCGTACTCGCTTTCGATGCCGAGGGCCGTCCGGTCATTGTCTCCCTCGCTGACCCCTCTGGGGGTCCGGTCATTGCGACCTCCTCCACTGTCCTTCCTTGTCCTGCGGTCCCGTCAGGCACACTGTCAGGTCTCTACCTCCCCTCGTTCTCTACGAACTTGGTGGCAGGTCGTGCGCTCCAGGACGGGGGTGTTCACCAGTTCACCCCTGCATACGAGCGCGTGACACACTGCACGTGTGCTCGGACGGGCCGCCACCTGGCTACCTTCACTCGAGAGCCGGGGTCGGACCTGTACACACTGACCACTGAGTCCCCTCAGGTAGCTGCGTCTGCGTCTGCGTCAGGTCAGCTGTCCGCCCCCTGCTCGTGTCGCTCTCTGGCGCATGAGACTGTCCTCTGGCACCACCGCCTTGGTCACCCGTCTGTGCAGCGCCTTCGGGCCATGCACAAACGGGACCTTGTTGCTGGTCTTCCCAGGGTTCTCCCTCCCCTCCCACCCTCGCCTGCTCCTCCCTGTCTTCCCTGTGTCGAGGGGCGGCAGCGCGCCGCTCCTCACTCCTCCTCCTTTCCCCCGACGACTGCTCCTTTGCAGACGCTCCACATGGACGTGTGGGGCCCAGCCCGAGTCCGTGGTCAGGGTCAGGAGAGGTACTTCCTGATTGTTGTTGACGA